CCCTTCCCTCCTCTTTGCAATGGTAATGTATGTTCTGTACCATTGCTGGAAGCTGGTGATGGCCATGTGATATGTCTTATAAGGGGTTACAGTTTAGAGAGTGCCGTGAGTCTCAGAAGAGACTGTGGATGTTTGAACATTGAGATTTCTGAAGCTGGACTAGATGAGTCTTGCATTATGATATGGTCACATGTCTACATAGTCAGGACATGGAATGTGGCAGGAGGGAAGTAGGTGGACCTGGATGGGGAAAGAGTATTAGTAAAATACAGTATAATAATGTTTTAATTGAAAAAAATGAGCAACTTAAGAGATTAAAACCCAAATATGTCACTTCCTATTGATTAGAGGTAGAGGGGGATTGCAGGACTATGAATTGTAGCCAGGGATGCTAACTAGAACCCATGAAGCTAGGGAGCTGGTCAGCTGGTATCAATATTCTGACAAGTAGCTGACAAACTGTAGTAAACCTGAAGGAAGCATGCCACATGAAATACTTACTGCCACAAAAGAAGCAGTTCTCAAGTCTGGTCCTCAACTGCAACCTCGAGCTACAGCAGTGTCCACGGGAATCTGCTCACAATGCAGCGTGTGCTTTCACCCTGTGTCTTCACAACCAGAAAGCAAGACCCTGCTCTTATAAAAATGTACACAGAGACATGTGAGGATGTCTCTGGAGGCTAATCGTAATGGTCAGTTAAACTGGATTCACAAACACACCTCAGGCCTCGTCTGTAAGTATGGTTGGGGAAGACGCAGTCACCGAGGTGGGAAGGCATGTCCTACAGTAAGTGGTCCCATCTACACTAGCGTCTGACAGAGAATGAAAGGCAGGGATGGGAAAGCGAGACACCCACCTGCTTGCTCAGCTGGCCACCCCCCCCCCCCCAGCTCCTGCTACCATGCCTCCTCCAGGATGGCCTCTTGAACTATAAACTGAGGTGCATCCTTCCTATGCATTTTTGTCAGTGTGAAGAGAAAAATAACTAATGCAATCTCCATGGCAGCACTGTTTACTGGGAACAAGTATTCATATTCATACTAAATGAGTTGGTTATATGTGCTCAGTGTAAATAAATTTAAGTATAGAAATTGAGGTTGAATAAGTGGGGTATACTGATTATTTAAGGTTCTCCCAAAGCAAGCTATGCAGGAACACCTTACTTCTATAAAGGTATGTCTTATTGTTTTGTTTATTATGGTGCTGGAGTGTGAATTATGGCCTCATGCATGCTAGGCAAACACCACTAAACTAAGTCTTCTACCTGTACAAAGGTTTAGAAGCTGAAAACCACACATCTGTGTATCACACACATGCAATATAAAGGCCGTCACGTCTGGAGGAAAGGAAGGTGGGCATAATCAGTGTCTTAGGGTCTACTGCTGTGCAGAAACACCATGACCATGGCAACTCTTACAAAGGACAGCATTTAACTGGGACTGGCTTACAGTTCAGAGGTTTAGTCCATTATTTTCATTGTGGGAAACATGGTGGTGTACTGGAAGACATGGTACTGGAGACAGAGCTCAGAATTCTGTATCTGGATTCAAAGGTAGCAAGAAGTGACTGTAAGCCATATTGGACCTGGCTTGAACATCTGAGACTTCAAAGCCTGCCCCCGGTGACACACTTCCTCCAACATGGCTGTACCTCCGAATAGTGAGGCTCCCTGGTGACCAAGCATTCGAACACAAGAGTCTATGGTGGCCATTCCTATTCAAATCTCAATCAAGAAGGGGTCACAGTTGCCTAACTGGGCTGGTGAAATTTTATTCTACCATGGATACTAAGGAAATCATGAATACTGATGTTATTTATGTTATTTATATCCTGCCTAGAATATTCTATAACTTTTTAAAAAAGATCTAAAGCAAATATTAAAACACAAAGTTCAGAAATGTCTTAAAAAAAATTCCCCAAATAGTTCTTTAATTAAAGTGAAAACCAGTCATAATCACGCTAATCCAGAGAGTTCCATAAGGAACTCCCATGGCTGGCAGCTTTGTCTTAGAGGCTTTGGAATTGCAGAGCACGTCTGAGCCACTGCGCTCAGTCTGAGCCACTGCGCTCAATCGTGGGAGTATTGCACTCAGCACGCTCACTCACCTCCTCCTTTCCCTGGCACTCTCAGTGCACCGGAACAGCAGAGATGTTAGTCTAGGGGGTAGAGGCAGCCCTGGCTCCGTCTGCAGACAGAGGCCTTAATCTGTCAGCAGAGATCCTCATAAACTTGGAACCTAACCTGAAGCAAGGAAGTGGGCAGCAGGCAGAGCAGTGTCTCTCCCAGGAGACCTGTCCAAACCTAGAGGTCCGTCACCTAGACACATGAAGCCAAAGCAGATGCTCCCTGAGAGATGATGTTGGGTGCAGGGAATGAGGACTGAAGCCAGGGCCTTCCACTGCCCATCGGGCCTAGTGCACTGTGCACTGCAGGCTTGCCCATCGGG